AAGAGGAACAACCACCTATCAGCCCTAATGGTGGCCGAATGGGATGATGGGAGAGGAGGAGCATTTAGGGAGAAAGAACAGGCAACCCAGGGGAAAGGAAGGGTCGGCCAGGTGGAGTTTCACCGTTGGAGAGCCGCTCGGTTGAGCGGGGATCGAGAGGGCGAGCCGCGAGTGAAAGAAGAGAAGAGTGAGCCATCTCGTGTAGACAAGGGTGAGCCTGTTCATGAATGGCAGAGGAGGCGGAAGCTAGGGCTTCGCTCGTGCGGCCTCGGGTTCGGGAATATAAACATGTTAAGGATCTCCAAAGATATACATATAAACAATGAGACGAACTGCAGTCCTGCATTACCTCTTAGGTGTTAGAAATGTAAAGACATAAGAGTGGCTGGTATAAATGTAAAGGAGCAAAGCTTGTGTTGGATATATAGGCATATAGAGATTGGGTGGTATGTTTGTAAATACTTCAATAAGTATAGAATAGGCAAGTGTTTGAAGTTCTGCATATGCGATATTAGATTTGGGTGTCAAATATGTAAATACTAAAGAATCGTGTGGCGTGTAGGCTTTCAACTCCCCTGTATGATTCTCATTCGTCAATAGTTTTGTCCATCTGAGTTTTCTCTCCTCAAATAATTTCACGGTGCTAGCCTCTCTAGCATCCTTAACATTTTCCACAAAAAAGAAAAAAAAAAGAAAAGCTGTATTTTTAATCTGCGCAACTTGCTCATATGTTCCAACTCACCAATTCGATAATCATTCTCATTATTAACACTAAACTCAATTAGTTCTTAAGATGACCTTAATTTCCCAATTCCAGATGCATTAGAATATGCATTCAGAGGCAAATTCCAAGTGAAGCAAATTAGAAAGATTACTCATATCGCCAGGCAAGAAATCATCAGAGAAAAAATTGCCTAAACACTTCCTCATAGATTATGAACCGTAAATAATAAAGACTAGTCAGAGATCTTGGCATTCGAGTGAGATTTACAGTAAGATTCAAATATCGAAGAAGTTTAAAATTTTTAATAACCTCAGACATCTTTTTCTGATATGGAGAGTGTATGAACAGCAAACGAATGCTTCATGATGCCTTTTAAAATTTCAGTAAGTATTTCAGAAAATCCTTGATCATTTCTTCCACTAAAAAAAAGCAAATGCAGGTTTTCAACACCTTTAGCGCATCCTACAAAGTTTAAAGTACATGCAAAGCAAACCATTAATTCATGCAAGAAATATCCAGAGCAACTTCGAAACAAGCCCAGAGAAAAATCTGGTAGCACTTCCTTCCCCTCCAGAGATTTTCGGCCAACCTTGGTAGTCAAACACACAACCAAGCAAGAATATCGAGCCAACAATCAAGAATACCGAGCAGCCCAGAAGGAATACCCTGCCAAGCAATACTGCCGAGCAACTGAACATGAAATTCACGCAAGACAAGATTTTGGCAGCACCTCCACCCTCATTTTGAATTTTTCAGCCAACCCTAAATACCTCCCCAAGGTGGGGTTTTATAGGCAAAAGACAGAAGAGCAACCACCTACCAACCCTAATGGTGGCCGAATAGGATGGTGGGAGAGGAGGAGAAGCATTTAGGGAGAAAGAGAAGTAGGCCTCGGGAAGATGAAGGGTCGGACAGGTGGAGTTTCACCGTTGGAGAGCTGGTCGGTCGAGCGGTCTGCGAAGAAGAGGAAGAATCGCGCGAGCAGGCTCCCGAGCTAGGGCTCGCACGAGGGACGCTGTTGCGACTCTGGCAAGAAGCATCAAGAAGATTTGCGAATAGAAGAGGGGCACGGGAGCTAGGGCTCGAGGGGCAAGCCACCTCGTGTGACTGGATCGAGCGAAGAGGAGAGATCGGGTGCGTGAGTTAAGTGAAATAGGTTTAAAATAAGGATTATTTTGTTTTATTTTATTGTATTATGTTATTTAATTATATTAATTAGTGTATGATTTATTTGTGTTCGAAATCCTAGCAAAGTGGGTATTTTTCCTGGGTAAAATTGACGTTCCGGACGCACCGGCACAGTCCATTTCGTCATTCGAGGTCATTTTGACGAATTCATCAATTTGTGTGTGATTTACTTGTGTACATAATTATGGCAATATGGGTGTCCTCTCTGGCTAAAAAAAGATGTCCCAGACGCGCCGGAGTAGTCTGTTTCGCCATCAAAAATCGTTCGGAGAAGTTCACATTTTCACCCTTCTTAAGCTCAATTCTAGTCCAACTTTGCGCAACTTAATGGATTTTGTGTATTTTGTGTGTGTGAGTGCGTTGCTAAAGTCTTAAAGGGGTTTCCCTAGAGCTTTAGATCCTATTGGGAACTTCTCTTTGACTTCCCACATGTTGGTCCTTAACCACTCGACCAAAAGATGATGGTTTGAGGCCACCCAGGTGAGACACCACAAGAGAATCAGGAAGTGGTTCGAATTTCTAAAAAGGGTGGGCCTCAGTTCTAGTCCTCTAAGATAGTCGATAGGAAAGTTCTATGACTAGATCCTAGGCTCTATGAAGAGGAAGGAAATGTCTCACAAAAATGAGGCCAACACTAGGGTACTCTGCAACTCAAAAGAAGAATCGGTGTCTTGATCCGACAACAAACAAAATCTATGTGTGTCGATGTCTCCTTCTTTGAAAGTGTTCTCTATTTTTTTAGCTCGACCTCTACTGAGGGAGAGATTGAGTTCCACGACAGTCTCATATCCCACTCCTATGGATGGTCCCCTCATTGTTCCTACCAATAAGGAGTCCCCTGTCCCACTGGGTGCATCATCTCCTCTTCCCACTATCTGTTTCTATACTCGGCACACCCGTCCTAATGCTCCTACTCCGGAGACCACTACCTCCTTACAAGAAGATTTTGACTCCACTCCCGGTGACATCCTTAGCACAACCCATCCTCCAAATGAGGAGGTGAACTCTTAAGGTAAGGAACGCAATCAAACATGCTCCCTATATTCCATAGAAAATATCTTTTTCTACAGTTTATTGCCGACCTACAGAGCATTTGTTATTACCCTGACAGATCATCAGATCTCAGCTACTATTAAGGTTGTTCTTGTTGATCTAGCCTGAAAAACGACAGTAATGGAGGTGACGAATGCCCTTCAGCAGAACAAAATATGGGACACAGTAATGGAGGTGATGAATGCCCTTCAGCAGAACAAAATATGGGATTTCATGGACCTTCCTCGCGGTAAAAAATGTAGATGGACACCAAGTTCAACTCTAACAGGTCCTTTGAATGAAACAAGACACGATTGGTTGCCAAAGAATACTCACATACCTATAAAATTGATTATGAGGAGACATTTGCTTCAGTGGTGAAGTTAAACATTATTCATGACCTATTGTCGCTTGCGATAAATCTGGATTGATATTTATTCCAACTAAATGTCAAGAATGCATTCTTGAATGGAGAGCTCGCAGAAAAGATGTACATGTCTCTCCCTCCAGCTTTGATTCTACTACCTCCAGAGAACAAGTGTGCAAACTACGAAAGTCCCTCTATGGGCTAAAGCAGTCCCCAAGGGCCTAATTCAGCAAGTTAACAAAGGTGATAGTGGGTCATGGTTTTACTCAGGCTCAATCGGATCACACCTTCATCTGTCATTCCTCCAATAGTCATGTAGTTATCTTTATTGTCTATGTTGACAATAATGTTTTTACAGTTAATGATCTCTCAACATTGGAGTCTTTAAAAGACATTCTTATTGCGTCTTTCAAGATGAGGGACTTGGAATCTCTCTGGTTCTTCTTAAACATGGAAGTGGCTCAGTCGTCTCGAAAAATTTGTCTATCTCAGCGCAAATATGTGATTGAACTCTTGACAGAAAACAACCTTCTTCTATGCAAACTTGTTGTTGTTCCTATAGATCCTAATAAAAAATTATCAGGTATTCCCAATGTTGTCTGTCAACAAAACTCATTGCCAACATTTTATGGAAAAACTCATCTACCTCGCTCATATTCGCCCCGACATGTCAAACAGTTAGAATAGTGAGTCAATTTTGGCATGACCCCTAGGAGCACCATCTCCACGTTGTCCACCAGATTCTCCATTATTTAAAAGATATACCGAGCTCAGGTTTGTTTTTCTCCCGTCACACCTCTCAATCAATTGTTGTTTATACAGACGTTGATTAATTTGGATCAGTTAATACTCGACGTTCCAGCTCGGGGTATTGTTCATTTGTATGGGGCAATCTTGTCACAGGAAAAAAGCAAGAAACAATTTGTGGTTGACCGAAGCAGTGTTGAAACTGAATTTCGGTCTATGTCCTTAGAAATCTGTGAAGCACTCTAGCTACACATCATGCTCCACATATTTTGTATGCCAACTTCTGTCCTGCTACAGCTATTCTGTGAAAATAAAACTGCAATCAGCATTGCTCACAATCTAGTCCACCATAATCGTAACAAACATGTGAAGATTAACAGACACTTCATTAAAAAAAGATAGAATCCAAAGAGATTTGTGTTTCATATGTGTCTTTCAGTGAACAATTAGCGGACATCTCACCAAAAATATTCCTCGCCATTTTTCAATGACTTCAAATTCAAGCTAAACATGACTGACAATTATACTTTGACTGGAGAGGGGTATTAGATTATAACGACAATCCCTAGCTGTCGTTATTTATTATTTGTCTTATTCTCTCATTATGTATTTTCTATTTTATTTTATTTCGTTTTAGTTTCTTTTCCTAATTGTTTTATTTCTTTCCTTTATTATGACTACTGTAATTGGGTTCAAATATTCCTCCTCCTAACAATAATATTGAGCTGCTCTATTCCAAACCTCAATATATACAATAAAATCTGTAGCATATCACATAATTTCAGAGTAAAGCATTTGTAGCAAATAATAAGATAAAGTCCAGTATATTTAAGGGTTTCCAAACTAAATTCAACAAATGAAACATATATTGTAATATAATTAGAATTTATTTGCCTTCTAAGAAAAAAACATATAATAAGCTAGCCTAGAAGCTGCACTCACCATATCACGTACAAAAGGATTGGCTGAATTTCTCAACAGATAACTAGTAATGGCATGTTTCTTGGAAAGTATAGCTTTATGAATTGCTGTTAACCCATCCTGGAGAAGTAGTCAAGTAGGCATTGTTTATATCAAAACAATGTTTAAGGAAATAGTAAAATGCAATAGGACTGAAAGCTAAGAAGTTTAACAAGGAAGATTCACGAACATACCACTATTCCTATGTATTTACATATCTAACAACTAACTTCATTATTTACATCCATACTACGTATGCATGAAAAGGTGCATTTCACTTTTTTTAGAGTTAAAATGATGGTATTTTTTATATGATATGAAAGATTTAGGAGGTATAAATGTAAAAAAGTAAAAGCTGTGTGAGATATGCAAGTACATAAGAATTGGTTGGTATGTAAGTAAATGTCCCTTTAACTATAGTCTGGTCTAAAAACAACAATTACCAGTGGCATCCTAAGAGTAGACTACCGAAAGTAATACCTCGTCAACAGCATTGATATCAACACTGTGCTTCAGCAGCAAATCCAAAAGATAAAACTCTCCAGAAGACGCAAGAGTGTGCAAAGGTAGCCATTTCCTCTGCAATGAAAATCCTTACATGAATCTCGTTGATCATAAACAAAGTAAATGAAAATGAGATATTGTGGTTAATACATTATCTAGTACAGTTTAAACAATAAATATTTAAAGAGGTAAATTGATGCAGAAGCTATGTTTTTACTATTACAGCATCTTTCAAATTATTTAGTAAACAAATTTCTAAGATAAAATGTAATGTCATAAAGAAAGGGAAAAAAGGTAGTATTCTATCACATAATATGGTTATGTAAAAGGTAGTATTCTATCACATAATATGGTTATGTAAAGCGAATTAACTTTTAAGAGAAAAGGACATTCTCCAAACATAAATGTCATCTAAATATTATTTCACGGAAAAAAGTAAGTTCATGAACCAGAACTATAAATTAATAAAATTTATTATTTAAAATTTAATATAAATTCCAAGAAAAGATTAATTAGACAATGTGTTCAAGATAATCCATCATTTAGCATTTAATAGCAAGAAAACAACACATATAAAGGTATTCATATACCCGTTTAAATACTAAAAAAAACATTGATTTTTGTGTTTTATATTGAAGGTTATTATCAGCAAATATAGATTATCTACTCCAAAAATAAGTATGACTGAGAGGACATTCAACAGACCTCAAAAAACAGAAGACTTCCTACTCATCAGAAGCACAAGACAGCTCAGAAGTCACTAACCCACAGATACAACTATTAAGACAATCGGGATTTAATGTCTGATTGGTTGAAGTGGTTTAGTTACAAATTAGCAAAAGCCATAGGGATTCTTAGAGCTTTAAAATAAGCGATGGAATGTCTAATAATGCAGAAATAAGCAAATCAATTATAAAGAAAAATCTATATTTTAGCCAAAAAAGAAATAAAAGGCATAGCAGCCCAGCAATATACTACCCAATCATGCATAAAGCACTAACCGACGTTGCTACACCCAAATTAGGAATGCGTTTATTCAGAAGAACCTTTTCTTCTTCTGTGAATAGCTTGCGACGACCTATTCATATACACAACAAAAATTAGATAAAAATTCAAATCAGAAAATCCTAGAAGTGAACATCTCACATAACCTGAAAATATTAGCAGAATCACAATATGTTTAAAAATTTAATATGGCACATGCAAACCTATTTTACATAAAAGCATAATTTTTTTTTTATCAATTCCCACTTATCACGAACGGATGCGGGTAAAGAAGTTAGTCCATAAAACTAATGAAATTAATATTAGAATAGAATCTTAGAATATAATTACTCTCAATGATAAATCAATGGAATTAGTTGATATTATGATTCACAGAAATACTAGTATCTTATGTATTCAAGAAACGAAATGGGTTGGAAAAAAGACTAAGGTGATTGATAACTTAGGTTTTAAGCTTTGTTATTCTGGTAGAAGTTGCACTAGAAATGGTGTAGTTAGATAAGAATTTGAAAGATAAGATTGTAAAAATTAATAGTGTTGGAGATAGAATTATAACTTTTAAGATTATCATTGATACTAAGATTTTTAATATTATAAGTGTTTATGCTCTTCAACTAGGTATAGATATAGGGTCTAAAGATAAATTTTGGAATGACTTAGATGACTTAATACAAATGATACCTCTTGAAGAAAGAATTTTTATAGGAGGAGAATTAAATGGACATGTCGGTAGAGTGGTAGAAGATTTTAGAAATATTCATGGTGGCTACGGTTTTGGAGTGACTAATGAAAAAGGTAGAGCTATTTTAGATTTTGCATTCGGGTATGATTTTGTTATTACTAACATTTTATTTAAGAAAAGATATTGGCATCTTATTACTTATAAGAATTGATGTAATAAAACACAAATTGGTTATTTTCTTATGAGAAGAAGAGGTCGTCGAGATTGTAAAGATTCTAAGATCATTTCAAGTGGGGATTTAAGTACCCAACATCGTTTATTAGTTCTAGATTTTAAGATGAAGAATTGTAAAATAAAGAGTATTATGACTCATCATCGTATAATTAGATGGGAAAATCTAAAAGACAAATAAAATTATTTTTATGTGAAAAATTCAAGATTTCAAAATTTGGGATGTTCATGATAAAGCAAATGCTATGTGGAATAAAGTAACAAACACTATTAAATAAGTAGCAAAAGATATACTTGGAGAATTAAAAGGGAGAATCAAAAATAAAAATTTTTTTCTAAATAAAAATAGTTGGTGGTGGAATAATAATGTTCAAAAAAATATAAAATATAAGAAGTTATGTAATAAAAATTGGTTTAAATGTAAAAACTTAGAGAACTGAGAAAAATATTAAACGACCCGCAGGGAGTAAAAAAAAACAATGTGACCCTAAAAATTATGTTTTTAATTATCTTTATAATAGATTAGATACTAAGGATGGTGAAAAATATAGAGAGAAAATAAAAGTAAAACATTAACTCAAGTAAAGTGTATGAAAGACGAAAATCATTAAGTGATTTTCTTAGAAAAATGTATTCAACATTGGTGGGTAAGTTAATTTAATAAACTTTTTAATGAAGTTTATGAAAATATGATCGACCTTGGTGATCTCAAATCGTTAATAATAATAAAACGTTCCATTTTTACCGTCGCATTAGTAAAAAAGAAGTTGATGAGGCTTTATAGAAAGCCAAGGGTGGAAAGTCTGTAGAACCTACTGATATCCAAATTGAAGCATGGAAATGCTTAGGAGATTTAGGAGTTTCTTGGCTTACTAAACTCTTCAATATTATTTTAAAAACTAAAAAGATGCCTGAGTGGAGGAAGAGTATTTTGGTCCTCATTTTTAAGAATAAAAGGGAAGCACAAGAGTGTGCAAATTATAGAGGAATTAAGTTGATGTGTTATATTTTTAAATTATGGGAGAGGGTAATTGAACATAGGTTCAGATGTATTACAAAGATATCTCATAATCAATTTAGATTTATGTCGGGCAGGTCTACGATGGAAGTTATACATTTATTAAAGTGTATTAAAGATGAAAATGATTAAGTGATTTTCTTATAAAAAGGTATTCAACATTGGTGGGTAAGTTAATTTAATAAACTTTTTAATGAAGTTTATGAAAATATGATCGACCTTGGTGATCTCAAATCGTTAATAATAATAAAACGTTCCATTTTTACCGTCGCATTAGTAAAAAAGAAGTTGATGAGGCTTTAAAGAAAGCCAAGGGTGGAAAGTCTGTAGAACCTGATGATATCCAAATTTGAAGTATGGAAATGTTTAGGAGATTTAGGAGTTTCTTGGCTTACTAAACTCTTCAATATTATTTTAAAAACTAAAAAGATGCCTGAGTGGAGGAAGAGTATTTTGGTCCTCATTTTTAAGAATAAAAGGGAAGCACAAGAGTGTGCAAATTATAGAGGAATTAAGTTGATGTGTTATA